AAAGTGCTCTTAAAACCAGGCTGGCTTAAGACATATATCCCTGAAAAGCTTCCAACTGCTACAATATCCTACTGTGAGCTCCATTAAAAATACAGCTATTCCCACAATCGTCCCATGTTTCCTTTCCTAGTGACACTCTGCTACTGGGCAGGAAAAAATCATGGACTACTTGTGCAAAACCYTTCCCTTCCATCTTCTAGTGAGCACGCAGCTCAAGCAAAGCCTCCAGCCAGTGCCTGAAACCAGAAAATGTTACACTACCAAGTTTTAAAACTAAGCAAATATGGGAAAATAGTCTCCCATCTCTTTGCTTCTTGCAGAAGATCCTTTGAATGCAAAGAAGTCACCACAGTCATGAATAACTTAACAACAAATGCTCGAGGACAAATACAATTTTTCTTAAAACCCTAATGAAATGCTGTCATTCAGCTCTCTGATAGCAGGAGTTTTGGTAATGGATGGTTCTTTTTTTTTTCTTGTAGTTCTTATAGGTGCTACAAATTTTCTGATAGACATTTTCTGAACAGGGTAGTGCTCTTGCTGTTGAGTCTGGAGATCTCCTGACATCATGAGGATGCCAGACATGTGGTTAGTTCATGCTTTTTTTCAAAAAAAAAGTGTTTTACATATGGGCAAAAAAGATGGAAAAAATAATAATTTCTTGTAACTGGGTTTACGTTTGGAATAAAATCTGTGTTAACTCTTAGTACAACTTTGCCCTCATGAGATGCAGGCTTGCCAGCCCTGGATGAGCTCTTAACCTCTAAACCAATTCTTTGTCAAAATAATTGCAGCTAGTACAGCAACTTTAAAGCCAGAAATCCTCAGGGTACCTCTAAAATATATCAAGTGGCTCTGGTAAGCACAAGATTGAGGTGTCCATAGGGGGTTCTCTTTAAGAGCAGAGTTGAAAGCAACAGTTGCTTTGAAATCAAGCAAATAAAAAAGTGAACCCAAAGGAGTTTCAGTATTTTGAGTATTTCTAGATGCATAAATTTCTGAATTTTTTGGAGTCAAAGTGAAGATGTTTAAGTTCACACATACTGATGATATTATACATTGGCTTTTCTCAGTCACTTTTCAGTAGCCCATGCAGTCTTACACTAGCCCATGGACCACACACCGAAAYCAGGAGACTATAACCTTCTTCTGGGCCAGAAAGTAACAGATCCRCATTGGGTGGATGAGAACACACACAAAAAACGTTCTAGGAATGTGTGCTCCAAGATTCAGACATCTCCTGCCAAATGCGAAGGACAGGACTGAAATCCCCAGTGACTGGATTCAGAGATTCTCTACCMTTAGACACGGACCAGTGCCTCCCAGGAACGGGCAGATGATGATGAACTAGCTCAAAAGGCCAATTTCCCCACAAGAATGCAAAACCAGGACCRTGGGGAAGAGCACACACACCAGTTAACACATGCACATACGCTTTTCTGTGATTTTCTTCTGCTAGAAGCAGATTATTAGATGCTCATACCCCTGGGCTGAAGGTCTAGCACCTTGTAGATGAAGCTCTGGTGCTGWGTTACGCTTTGGACAACAAACTCTGCAGCCATGTCCCTGAGTGACACCTTAGAAAGGTGAACAGATCATAATAAGTGCTGCCAACTGCCTGCGAAACAAATACCCTTCATAGCAGGCTCACAACACAACTTCTAGACCAGTAAAATGCTTCTGAATTGCTGGATGAAGTCCATGCCTGTGAAATAGCAGCACATTGGGAGAAGAATAGTCCTTCATCAGTATGGCTCAGACACTGCTCTTACTACTCATCTTCCTACAAAAGGATCCTGCAAGCACTTCCTTGCAGGACATCAGCAGCTCTAATTCTGGAGATGCATGTGATTGCGCTTACCAGGGTGGACATCTTTGTCTAGATTTATTTCACTGTTCAAACAAATGTTTAAACAAATGTTACAGTGCAGATACAGTGAGATTTCCTTCCTCTGCCGCTTTGGAAACCCCCTCTGAACAGATCAAACAGCCATCACGTCTCCTTGAAGGATGCGGAGGGGTTTCCTGCAGCAGCTCTCCTGCATTTCATGCTAGTTGCTTCCACTTGACACCTCCGCTCCCTCCCTAACTGTTCTTAATCACATCAAAGACCATCAAGACCCATTTTCCTGTATGTACTTCCTTCTGAGCCACAAGGTCTTATCAAAATAACCAACAGTGAAGAGATTTCAAAACAAAAGAACGTAGATTTCCATGGTGCTTCTTTCTACTGTCGTTTAAGACCAGGTCCCTTGGGCCATTCCCTACTGATTTTCCTTGGTCTAAGACAGCAGCAGCGCTGGGATGGGACATGGGCACTGCTCTCATGGCAGATCTCTCACCAAACAGAGGCAGAGGGCACGATGTCCACAATGGGCCAAGATTAGATCTCAAAGGCGGCTCTGGCTCAGACGGTCTTGTGTGAGAAGGCCCGGCTGGAACAAGCAGCCTCTTGGAGAACATGCGGCCCAGCCAAGAGGCAGAGCTCCAAGGAGACTAAGGCTTAATGATTCATAGAAAATGACACGTGGAGGCGAACAAAGGCCTCAGGGCTGGGACAGCCACCTACGCGTGCAATCGCTCCTCTGCTTTTRCGCTTCCTCTTGGATTTCCTTCTTTCGGGCTCACCTGGAGGAAAGGGTAATGTGCATAATGGCCCTAAGGAGGACTTCAAACCTTAAGAGCACTAAATCTACATTAGCTCTCCCACTCATAAATCTTTACCTCTGCTCTCRAGAAGACATTTTTGCACAGGTCCCTGGTCTTCTCGAGTCTCTTCATGTTCCTTCTAAAACACTTACGTTGGCAAGAGGTATTTTGGAGACCAGAAGGAGGAAAAAGGTACCTGCACTTTCTAGTGCAAATCTTCTCAGTGCCAAGTGTTCCCTGTAGCCAGACACAGCAGTGCCTATATTTGTCYATTTTACCTTCTTTTCCCAAATGCCTGTTATTTCTGACACGCAGAAGTACATCTTTGTGAAAGCATCCTCTGTCCTCTCGGAGTAAGTGAATCAGAGAAGTGTTGTCTCCTTCTTTGAGATACAGGATATGCTAGAGAAGTGTATCAACTCCTGTGCTAAATACAAACAGAATTCTTCAAAGCATGGCTTTGCCATGATCTTTTCTACATGATCTTTTTCTTCCTTGGCTTTCACAGATGCTCAGGGAAGGGCAGGAAAAATCCTCATCTGGAGGTTACAGGAAGCCAGCAAGGCCTGATGATGAGTCAGAAACAAATGGGTCAAGAAGACCTGAGTGTTTTCTTTCTCCTCGACACACAGGCTGCTCCCTATGCCCTATTTCTGTACAGAGAAGACCAAAAACTAACAAGACAGGGATGGCTGGCAGAGCTCAGAAGCAACATGATGAAATCCACTCAGAAGGGATTTCTTTAAAGACTTCTTCCATTTGTTTTTTCTCTGTTTGCTTGCATGGGAGGCATTTGTTCTAAAGAAGTTCAACCAGGTCAAGTAACAGCCCGGTAATATCTAGAACCCTCTTGGCTCAATATTGCAAGCAAAGTAAATCCTTTTTGTGAAATTATCTTGCTTTCCTTTTAGATTGCAGCAAGAGGCCTAATAGAGCACTTTTTGCAGGTGGCATTTGAGCAATAAGCCAGACTTCAGAGTGCAGCAATATCCCTGGTTGACACATAGGGCATCAGGTCCCAAGCATGAGCAATAGCCCTGCACTGCCTTAGTAGGTTCTCTCCMGAGAGAAAGAAACCCTGTTCAAACAGACACATTCCTTAAATGCCTTCTCCAAATGGCCTATGGATAAGAGAAAAATGCAGATGTATGTACCACCAACCCATTTAATGCAGCTGCTAAGCCCCAACCATTTGTGATCAGTACAGCCTCTGCAGCCAGGTTCAATACCTTAGTTCTGAGTGACTACGGGCACAAAATACTGCTATAAATCTACAGATAATTCAGAAAGAGTGGAAAGAAGGAGAATAGAGTTAAGGTTAAGAACTCTCAAGAGACTGTTCAAATSTTCTAYGGGATAGAACCACATTTTTYCTTAGCATTGCTACCATACTATTAGAAATATTTTTATGGGCTTCAAATTTTCTTTCATCTCTAWTTTTTTTTAAACTATTTTACACCTTTATCATACTATACTGTAGTTGTGTCTAAGTGACACAACAATTCATTAGTGACATTGCACAGAAATAAAACAACCAAAAAGAAAAAATAAATGGAAATCAATACCTTTGATACTACTATATTATGATGATAAACAAGAACATGGAAAGCTAAGCACACAAAAAAGTCACTTTATCTTCTTTATTAGGAAGGGATGTGCTAATCAAGTCATCCAGTATTTCTAAACCAAGTCTGTTACTGGATCTCATCAAATGAAGTGAGTAGAACTTGGATGGCAAAGCAAGCTTACAAGAGAGAAGTTTCCTAAGTCAGAATCATCAACATTTGGCTTCTGGAGCTTTCTGTTCTGTTGGCTTACAGCACAATAAAAGTGCAAATAAGGCAGAACACAAAACTCGAAAGGCTGTGAGAAGAGTAACACGACTTAGAAGGCACATGCTGCTCATCTGACAACTCCCAGCATCCCATAAACAAAGAGCAAGGAGCAACTCAGCCAGTGACCTGCAAAAAACTGGGTTCCTTCACTCAGGAATTGCGTATTCAGGGTCAAAGTTCCACTAAACTTTGGTACGCTAGAGTGGAATATCACCTATTCAACTGCAACTCCTCTAATGACAGGAGACAGCTGAGAGCTGCTCAAATCAAATTATGGCTCTGATTATGCAAAACGATTTGGTTCTGTATTTCTTGCCACCACGACATTGTCAGACTGCAGCTTGAAGATATCTGCTCTACGGTTTCTCCAAACAGGCAATTAAAACAACAAGAGAAAAACTAGTTTATCACTCTACTCTCATTTGGTAAAGGATACCTCATGACAAATTATGTACATGAATGTGTCAACTGCTGAATATAAACACTGAGAAATGTTTTGTGAAAGCTCTCTCTTACCGTCAGGGAGTTGTTTACAGGACAAAGCATCATCAAGATCTTTGGCAGTTGATGGGTCGATGGTGAAGATACATTCTTTCCTATCCAAGAAAGAAAAGAAAAACCCAAAAGAAATAAAATTTATCTTCCGGTCATGAAGACTACATCAAAACAGAGAGACTATCAGACACATCCAGACAAAAACAGTGTTGTTTTCAGAAGACTTGGGCTGCCGAAACATTTTTCCATCTAATGTGAAAGCTTAAATCTAATTTTTTAAAAAAGTGTGCTGGATAAGTGAAGCTTTTTTGTTTATTTTTATTTTATTTTAGTAGAACTGTTTACCTATAATAGCATTTATCTCATTACTGATTTTCCTTCACAAAACCTAAACRATTTACCCACCAAACACACTCTAAAGCAGCATGCAGAGAAAGGTCTTGATGCCTTCCAGCTAGAGGGAAAAAACATCATCGCTAATTGTAAAACTACCCTGGAAACAAATAACCCACACCCCAGTGCATAAGAGCAGATATCAGAGCAGCTGGAACTGCAGGAGCACAGAGCAAAGGCAGTGAAACACATACAAAGCAATGACTAAAGAGGGAGTTTGGGTCTCAGTAAAGATGCTCCAATGTGCAGGGTTTTAYAGCAGCTGTGGTGCACATTACACAGCGAAGAAAAGCAGCTTCAATAGGAAACATTAAGGAAATTATACAAACATCTTCAAATCAACTGGGTTTAGCAACTCAAGTTCTTGATGCTTAGGAAAAGCAGAAGCTGAATACCTTTCATGAAGCAATATAATAGGCAGCACCTTGGACACACAGTCCCTACCCTGGACCACTTATATCCACATGCAACTGTGCACAGTGCACAGCAGGGACATCAGGAGCAAATGAAGATGGGTGATTCTGAGGCTGCCTCAATCTTGGGAACAGTTCAGCTCTTCCCCAGTTAAAAAATTCCCCAAGCACAGCAGGATACAGCAACAGCACCAAGGAGCAGATGCTGCATTGCTCCCTTTTTGCCACAGAAGGACCCTGTGACTGCAGGTCCTTACTGACCAAGTATATTATTCCTCTTACGGCATAACCACCAATGTACTCCTGTGGTCAGAGAGGCAGGAGGGAAGAAATCACGGGGAACTTTTAAGGGAGCGGGTGTCCTATGGAATTTGCACATCTCGGTCATTTTGCACGGGCGTCTGCACAGCGAGAGCAAGGGCTCGATCTCCGCAGGGCCATCGCGCGGCACCCGGCCGCTCCGGGTGCTGGGCTTGGTGGCAGGCAGCTGGCAGCACACATTTAGGTAAACCCACCAGGCCCACTAAACTAAGCTACTAAATCGAGGCTTTCAAAGACATCAAAATCACTAATGCACTTCACTCCCTTTACAGACTTTGAAGGTCTTCTACAATACTCCCTTTGCAATGGGACAGCAGAGCCGCCTTAATCCTCGGCACACACGGCAGGGTCTGATCCTTCACCTGCATCCAAACAAATCACAGACTGGGATACTGAAARATAAAATCTTTTCAGCACTCGCGGTGCTTTGATCTGCTGTTGTCTAGCTCTACAGCATTGGGAATGAACCAACCTAACGGCTTGAAAAAAAAAAAAACACTAAAAAGCCCAATTTCTAAGCATGTGTGTTTAKATACGTAGACAGACATAGCATGAGTAGGGTATACCAACATATATGTTTGCCAGAGTGCATATATTGCTGCACCTGGTCCCATTAACTMGCACAGGATGAGAGCAACAGCAGCCTGGCACTGCGACCACCCCACAGTCGCATCTACTAAATCTTCCTTTAAGTTACTTAATTTAAAAGAACAGCACCGAGCGGAAACGGATGGCTTGCTTTACCCTGACAACTATCCACGAGAAAGCTTTTAAGAGCTTCTTCAAAGAAAACGTGGGTTCCTGTGTCAACGGCATAGAGAGTTYAGTCCAGATGTTTGGGGCCTGCATCCACGGGCGTCTGCCACCCCTGGCGAATCGCAGCTCCGGGCAGGAGGGTTMGAAATTCGCAGGCCGGTTTCAGCAAAGCGCGTATTTGCAGTCTGCCCTGGAACGGAGCAAGCATGAATCCACGGGTGCCAAGTCCCGAGCACGTTTATACAACTGCAGYAGCTACCGGCTGCTTTGCTGGGACGGATTTGGGGAGTGGGATCCGCTGTGGAGGTCAGTGAGGGGCCCTGGGTCAGAGAGCCCAAACGTGGGGGGACGGTGACACGGACACCCCCCGTGTGGCCYTGGAGGGACCCGGCTCGGAGCAGCCTTGGCCTGCAAGCTGCAGGCACAAGCAGGCTCAGACGCTGAGCTTCACATGCAAAAATGTCCACAGAAATACAATTTAGCATTTCTCACAAGCCTCTATCCGCAGCACAGCGGGGATGCGTTCTAGCACCAGGCTTAAACTGGCTTCTTTAAAACTGCTCAAGGGACTGGCCACAGGCAGCTAACTCTGAGCACAGGGTGAGGTAAGAAAGTCCCTGCACCAGGAGCCCCGGGATGATGCTCCCTGGCAGCCGGACACTGCGGACACGCTGCAGAGCTGCTGGCCACGCAGCCAAGGGAACCCGAGACACTGATTCTGGAGGASAGCTTAAAATTCGTAGCAGTGACATCACTCTGGGGCACAGAAATACCCCCAATGGTGCRCAGAAATACACGAAACGGTGCACAGAAATACCCCCAAAGAGAGTTTTCTGAGCAAATTCTGCTCACCAGTACAGGCTGGTGCACAGCAAGGTGAGCGTGGCACCCGGCTCGCGCGCTCCTCCGGGCACAGTCTCGGGCAAGGCCCAGTCCCAACTACCTCCTCTCGCTCTTCCTGCAGCGCTGCCAGTACCAGCACTGCAAACTGTCCCTGGACACTCGCTCCAACCACTTCTATACAAACCCACAGAGAGGGCCCTGGAGGCAGCTGATAAAAGCCATGTGGCTGAAGAAATAACATTGCTCCCTATGTGGTGAAGCCTCTTGTGACCGTTCAAATTGCTCCGCTGACCACAGTGCCTGCCAGAACAACCTCCCTAAGGCTGCGGCCCAAAGGACTGCATAGATATCGGACCACATTTTTGAGGACGACCAAGCCAACCTGCAGTTAAGTTGTATGACTAAACCTCAAGGCAACAGTCCTTTTTATGCACCTGCTAAGCAAGCCATTGCTTAAGCACAAGCAAATATCATGGCTGCATTCATGCATATTTGCATTGACCACAGATAAATACAAGTTGGCAGCTGTCTCCAGTTTCTTGGAGGCTGCCAAGGTGACCCTGTGGGTTATGAAGCTTSATCATCTCTCTCTCTCCCCTCTTTAAAAGCCTCAAAGGAGCCATCTCTCATTGTCATTACACCTAATAAAAATCTGTTTTATTCATTTAAAATCGTCAAAACATACTTTGCAAAAGTAATGAGATGTTCCAAGTTTGCTCATTCCAACATACACACAACTTGGTTAGTTAAAGGAAACTGGCTTAGGAGATAAAGACACACACGGAGTGTAAAAGATTTTCCGGTCTTCACATTCCACACGGACTCTGTGCATTTCTGTAGATGCATCGTGAGAGATCAACGTGGGTTTTTAAGAATCCCCCAGCCTTTGAGCCCCTGTGCACCAACCRTAGGAGCTTCTTCATCCAAAACCTGTTTGATGCAAGTTTGCAGAGGGAGATTGCTCTGGCATGGAGCTCCTGTTGATGGAAGAACAAAATCCATCCTCCCCCTCTCCTATGGCCGGAGGCTTTTGAGCACCTGAGGGGAACAGCTCGCATGGAGCATGGTGGATCTGCAGGAAAAGGATGGGAAAGGCCCTGCCACACACACTGCACAGACCCTGCCATCCAGCCGGGATCTGGGAGCGCTGGCACAGCCAGCAACAGCCCTGACATGGAGTGATGGCCACCAACATATCCCTGCCAGTCCAGGCATGTGGATGGAGACAAAGCTCATGCACCAGCTCCACTGCTGTCCTTCAAATCAACCACCTGGGAAAAAACCTCACAGAACAGGGAGCTCCCTTTATTAGGCAGTAATGACAGCATGCACATATACAGGACGGTATATCAATCCTAATTTAAGGAAAGCTAATTAAGCGCAGCTTTTTTGCACAGCTTAAGGAGGCTTAATGAAAGCAGACAAGCGTATCTGCAGAGCAGTTAGTCTTTTTACCTTTAGCAGGACGTAAGCAAATGGCTAGTGCAGCACTAAAAGTAAAGAGCTGCCTGTCAGTGTGCTTGAATTACCATCAGGGTAATTAAAACGCTCACAGATCATGGGACTGCAAGAGTAGTTGCTTTTCTCTGTGCAAATTGCTACGTCCGAATGGGGGCTTGCAAGAATCAGAAGAAAAAAAATACCGTGCAGTYGGTGTCACGAGGTTTAGTGCAATGTATCAATTAAAAATATTAGCTTTTTGCCAGCTCAACTGCTCAGAATTCAACAGCTCAGTTGGAGGTTAGCCACAAAGCATCAGCATCTACGACCCAAGGAGATTACAATCCCACCGGTCAGGCTCCTTCTTCATTCGAGTGGCAGGCGGCTTGGATGAGGATGAAGCACCGCGTGTGCACGCCGGGCTCAGCTGCAGCGCCGAGGTCGCTGCCCCGGCCCGGGGCAAATCTGCCCGTTCCCGGGGGCATTTTCTGCAAAGCAGCTCCGTGCTCTCGCTGGGCACGCACAGGACCAAGCGGAAGTGCAGCCTAACGCCGCCGGACGGCCTTCCCGGCCAGCGGCACGCGGGTGAATCCAGCTGCCAGCAGAGGTGCCACCACCGAAACAAGTACCAGTTCAGAGAACTGCACGTACCCATGAGGGCATCGGACAGCCCTGGAGCCTGGCAGGCAGSATAAGGGCGCCCACACGCTCCCCGCATGCTGCCTTTCCTGTCCTTGGCCAAAGCAGCCCCTGACACAAGCCATGCCAAGGCCCAGAGCCAGCACCCACCTGAACTAGGGCTCCTCCAGGTGAGGGGCACGGGCTGCACGAGGCTGTCGAGTGTCTGGGCCCTCGAGAGCTGGGTGCCCGGCAGCCACGCAGAGCTCCCGAGGAAAGGGCTGAGCACAGACCCACCAAAAACCCTCCAGCAGAAG